CGTGTACAGAGGCCCCGCCCGTTCACCGGACAGGACGTTAATTAGAAAATTATGTGGGAAATTATTAATAGGTCCGCCGTGTACCCGATTAGATAACAAACTAGTCCATTAGTCGACAAGGATAAACCTTCTGGGGTCAATGCATTAAAGGGTTATAAGCGTTGGGAGCTTTGTTTTAAGGTTTACATTGGTTTCGGTGGTTCTAATTGAAAAGGACTCTGTGCGGTGGTACAGAGATAAAGCAGTAGCGAACAATACGGCGCGCGTCGGACCGGGGGCGAGTTGACGCGTGGTTGAGGAATGATCAGCCGTGTGGAAATGACGACTTAATGGATTATATGTGTCCGCCGACATCGAGATAAGTGTCGCGTCGGTATCGGGCCTGTCGCCGGAGATTAGGTATGGAAATTACAAAAATTAATATTATAATGGAAACTAACGAAATGGTTTTACACACCGATGAATTCGGTCGATAAAACGCATTAAAACCGATCGCATACATGTTGTTTCTGATGATGTAGGACATTTGTCATCTTATAAATGAATTTTATCTTTAAGTATATATGTCAGATCTCTATGTCAAAATTAATAAACAGTTCGCTGATACAGTCTACCTAATATTTTAAAAATGTTACCTAATATGCCGAGTATATTATTGTCTAATTCCCTTTTTAATAAATTCCGATTTAGATTGGTATTCTTAATTGGCTTTTAAAAGAATTAAGTCAAAGGTCAATTAAAGCCTTCAAGGGTCATTTAAACAATACTTATATTTTCTAGTCTCTGGCGCCTTAAATTATAAAAACAACTAAATATATCTTGGTTTTGCACTGGTTTTTTAAATAATTATATAGCATAACATTATAAATTTACAATACATTTCTATAATATATAAATACATAGTATATAATACATAAATACAGAGTATATAAAATGGGAGTATTATTTTTGAGTTCATTATTAAGAACACACTTAATTTTCATACAAATTAAGGTATTTGCATCATCTATTTCTATCTACGTTTGCAGTTCGAATACAGTTTGGAAAATAACAGCCAATTAGTAAGGTAATATACACATCTTAATAAGTAGTAAGAGAAAAACAACTAGAGATCTGAAAAATGTTCTAATTTGTACCTATTACGGCTTTTGTTCAAAACGGTAAAATATTGTACCTAGTACTGTAATGCGAGTTCAAAATAATTCACGTCGTTACGCGGAACAATAAAGTTTCATTCAATTTAGGTTCGACTGTTCCATGAATCACAAAGGCGACTGACCCACATCACACACATGCAACGTAGCAAGCACCCCGGACAGTTGCGTGTCGACATCAACAACAGTAAATTGAATACGAGCATTTTGTTATAATAACGGCCAATGGATAGCCCCCAAATATATATTAAATAGCACCACAATAAGCCCCGATTTACCGGCAATCTATTTTCATATAGGGACAGGACAAGAAACGCCTCGCCACTTACGATAAAAAGTTAAAGGAGAGATCACCCGCTGATCTTTTGTGCAAGTCGGTCCTAAGGCAATGTGGACAAACGACCCGTGGGAGCCGGTGTGAAATATTGAGCCTCTGTCATAGCGGGACGGACGCGATTCCCATTACAAAGCCATTTGCGCTGTTTACATAAAGGAGGAGGGACGCGAATGCTATAGTCCTGAGTTGTATGATTGCAAATTTTCCGCTTCTCGCGTGTCAAAGGAGATAATTTATTGCAATTGAGATATAGAAGGCGCCTCGGGATCGGCCCCGCAACACCTCGCATAAATAGTGCCGCACGACCGACTCGCCAACCATCCTCCTATCATCTCGACACCAAATGAAATTATGATTACTATTTATTACATTGCGCCATACTTAATATATTATTAAGTATTTTTGAGAGAATAGACAGACATGAGCAAAGCCCATGAGCCCACCTGCAAAATTATAACTACCGCTAATGGACATGAACAACACCATAGATATCATGACATATTACATTGTAACTTCTGTACATATTAAGACCCAAATAACTTGAAACTCAAATTTTTTTTATAATGTATACCCATATTAGTAATAGCAAAATATTTTTTATGTTCTAATATTTATTACCTCTATAATAATAAGTGTTAGAAACTTAGTGCTCCAAATTATAAAATCATTAAGAAGACGAGGACCTCCGTAGTCATAGTTGGATATATATATTAAATAGCGCCTATAGTCATAGTTGGATATAAGTGTCAAGTCTAGATGCGTATGAGATTAGATAACAGCTGGTGTTAAAGTACTCATACACTTATTCCATATCATATTTTATATAACCGTAACAATTTTTCAAGTACTATTCATTTTTAGAGATATAGGACATTATGCAATTTCTTACTATACCATTACCCCAAAAGTAACAATGGACAAACAGATTGCGCAGGTAAATTTGCTTTTAGGCGAATTTCGTTTGCGGCACGTACTCATTTTTTGTGTACAACAGCAGGTGTGAAACATAAACCTCACGCCACATTGTTTTCATCTTCATCGAATATAAAATGATGTTCAAAGCAGCACTTTCAAATGCAATCAAAATATTTAAAACCTGGCTTCGGTGTAAAACGGTTTATAAAGTATAATAAAGTGAATAAGCAAAACTGCTCTCGTGTTATCATGAGAAAATAAATTTCAAATTAAGGATCATTTATTTAATCAAACGTTTTTAAATTGGTACTGTAGAAAAAAAACCATAATGTGCAGATGTTTGATTTGATGAACGGTTTGCAGTCGAATATTAGGAAATTTATATTAAAATCGTTTAACTAAACATAGGTTATGAATTTCCAGAGTGCAATTTAGTGATTCAACATGGATGCATCGCGTGTGCAACGCAAAATTTTTTTAACAATGGAATGCTATCTTCGTAAATTGTATATTTCATATCTTCATCATTATCTTAGTTTAGCTGTAGTTCGATATTTAAATAGGCCTATATATGTTATACAATCAGTATTTGCTCTAAAAACTGCCTAATAAATTAACTTTAAATGTACCATAGTTTTTCTATAAATATTTATTTTAGCGTAAGTACCTCCTGCTTGTTAATATGTATTAACTAAAAACAGCATTTATTTAAAAGAGCAACGCGCAAGTTTCTCTAATGGTTTCTCTGCTGAATCATTGAATAAACGGTAAAATAAAATTACTTTTTTTTCGTTTGGGAACAGCATATCATAAAAGGTTAATAGTAGTAACTTGTCAAAGATCTTCCGAAAATAACTGTATGAATCACTTAACTTCTCTTCAAATTCAAGTACTGGAACGTAGAGTGTAAAATAGAGTAACTGGTTTCTTTTAATTATAATCACAAATCATGATATAAATATGCACTAATGATATCACCAATTCATGAAAAAAACCCTGCACATCATTATAATATAATTATTAAATAAAATCCAGAAATATTTGTAATAAATTGACAAGTGAGATTGTAAATTAAAGTCGTAATAAATAAAAAAAACTGCATAGATAGCTAATAAGCAAAATTTACTATGTGTTCAGGAGTTAAAATCATTGATATGTACAATACATAAATATTTCATTAATAAATAATTTACAAAGAATAATTTCTTAAACAATTTATTGTAAATAATCTAGATTCCCAATATTAACGTATAAATAATTACGGTTTCGTTATAACAATAACCAAAATTTACTTTTGATTTGTCTGCTGCATGTCACAAATGACAAAATGTTTTAAGCAATAAATATTAATTTCATTTTTAACCACTAAAGTTCAGCCAGCAATATGGACGATATTGCTATTATTGAATTGTAAACCCGTTGTATTTATAAAGAGGGACATTTAAGATAAGGATTTTTTTATTTACCCGAAGATTATTTTGAACTTTATAGAAGTACCTTAACATATCATAATAATGACTATTTTTATACAAGTATAGTAGACTTATACGGATAAAATTTACAAATGTAACACACTATTTTTGAAGCATCGGACATTCAGACACCTTGTGATAAACTTTTTTGATTATCAAAATTAATATAACATTTTCGGATACGTTTTAATATACCTGATTGGTAAGTAGAATATTTAATATTACAGTATTGTTGTGTAAACATTCTATTTCTATGTGATTATATATTAGTGCAAATGAAATATATAAATACATGTACAATAATAAACATATATAGGAAGTAGTCCTGAGGAAAGTTGTCCAATTTCCAATATCACTTGATATACTTATTACTACTAATTCAGTAAATATATTTGTTTTACAATTCCGTGCAAAATATTCATTGTTCACAAAAAAAATATTGAATATTTTTACTTTAAAAGAACTGTATTTATTATAATATAAATATTTAAACAAATTCAGCTAATATATTGGTAGGGAAGTGGTGGCTATTGACATATTCCAAGAAAAAATAGGTATTTTATTAAATCTATTAAGCCTTCGTAAATGACTTACGTTACAGTATAGTAGTACGCTAACTTAACTCGCGAAGAGTAGTAGAGATACCTTTGATATACATATGTGTAAAATATGTACAAAGTACCCATTCATTGGAATACCGTCTAGTTATTAGCAGTGAGTAAACTAAATGTCAACAACCGTCATATATCTGCAAAATAATATTATCAAACGCAGAGTTAACAAGTAGAGCGACTGTAGCAGTGCGCTCGAGCACTACCTGGCCAGCCAGCTGCCTCGAATCCCCACCAATTTCTCTTACCCCGCAGCAATTTCACTATCTCTCTCGCACTTACCACATAAAAGCTTAAACGAAATACAAAAAGCGGTTTCAGACTATGGTGTTGTGTGCATTTCTTCGTTGTGTGTGTAGAGCGTATTTTTCTGACAAGCTTTACGTGAAACGGATAGAGCGGAACATAGGGCAACGATCATGGCAGTTAGAACGTTTTAATCTCGGGCGTGAATTTACCTGTTGGAACGCGTGAACCGGCGCGGCCTTGTGCGCGAGCGCACTGCAGGTTCGGATTGTAGACAGTTCCACCCCAGACCGCTGCGCGAGCGTGCGTCGTTCCGTACACCACGGACGAGCAGTTGTGTCCGCACGATCCTGTCCAATTAGTGTTCTCGCGAGAAACGAGTTAAGTGGCCGGTCTGACTAGTGAAGTACTCGACATTTGCGGCAATACCGATGAACTAATGTGCGCCGCCGGTGTGATGTATTCGTGCAATTTTAGTGCTAGCTGATGGAATATAATACTATGTAATAAGTGAAGTTTGTGAAAACAAAACAATGTGTTCGGCGTGGTTAATGAGCATCATTTTGGTGCTAAGTGCTGTTTTATCAGCTTTCTGTGCATCATTATCGGCAACCACGGGAGCTCGTTATCAAGCTCCTGATGAATGCCGGTGGACTACAGACGACGAAGGCGCAGGAGTTGCCTTGCAATGCAGATTAAGAACGATAAATAGTGAACTAGAAAATACAAACTTTAGTGCAATACAACCGCATCTTACAGTAAGATTGCGACTAGAATGCAGTGATGCTCTATTCTTTCAAAGCTCGCTTTCCCCGGGGAGTTTTCGACAGTTGATAGAGCTTCGAGAATTAACTATTGAGTACTGTAAAATAGGCAATCTTTCTGACGGAGCATTCACGGGGCTACGCGAACTTAAAAATTTAACTATACGAACACATAATACAGATTGGTCCAGTATGTCACTTGAAATTACTTCAACCGCATTCTCTAGAGATGTGCAAAATTTAGAAAGATTGGATCTAAGTGAAAACAATATGTTGGTGTTTCCTGATGGAGCACTTTGTACACTGAGAAACCTTGAATATCTAAATATGACAGGAAACAGAATGAGAGATATAAGTCATTTTCAATTCTCATCTGCGCATCGTCATCCCTCTGAAAAATGTGGAGATAATTTATTAGTATTAGATCTCTCTAGAAATATTATAGATACCTTACCACCAAATTTATTATCAGGACTAAGAAGATTGCAAAAACTATATTTTCAAGGAAATAGTTTAAATTCTATTGCAGACAGAGCCTTGGAAGGTCTCACTTCACTAACAACTATAAGATTTTCGGACAATCAATTAACAAGTTTACCCCCAGAGCTATTTAGTGATACAAAAGATCTGAAAGAAATATATTTAAATAATAATACAATCACAGTTTTAGCACCCGGATTATTTAGCGACTTATTTCAACTTCTTGTTTTGGATTTGTCGTGGAATGAATTATCATCAGATTGGATAAATACTTCTACGTTTACTGGCTTAAAACGATTAGTTTACTTAGATTTTTCACATAATCGTGTGTCGAAAATGGAAATTGCATTGTTCAGAGATTTACATAATTTGCAAATATTGAAAATGCAAGAAAATTTCATTGAATATATACCAGAAAATGTATTTAACTCTTTGGTCAATTTACATACATTAATTTTATCAAATAATAGACTGACTATTATTGAAAGTTATGCATTTACTGGATTGCAAGTACTAAGTGTACTTTCTATAGATAGCAATCGTATTTCAAAGATACACCCACATGCTCTACGTAACTGTACTTCTTTACAAGATCTGCATATAAATGGAAATAGACTTGACGAAGTTCCCATTGCTTTAAAAGAAATTCCTCAATTGAAAACTTTAGATTTAGGAGAAAACTTAATTGTCAGCATTGAAAATGCATCATTTACAGCAATGCAACAAATGTACGGTCTAAGATTAACAGAAAATAACATTGGTAATATCAGTAAAGGAGTGTTTGATAAAATGACTTCGTTAAAAATCCTGAATTTGTCGAGAAATAAAATTCATAAAATAGAATCTGGTGCATTTGATTCTAATATCAATTTACAAGCTATAAGGTTAGATGGAAATTATCTAACAGACATCGGAGGTTTATTTGCTAAGTTGCCTAACTTGGTGTGGTTAAACATATCAGATAATCGATTAGGATGGTTTGACTATGCTATGATTCCAACTGGATTGCAGTGGCTGGATATTCACGCTAACAGGATAGCTGAACTTGGGAATTACTTTGAAATTGAATCACAACTATCGCTTAGTACATTTGATGCTAGTTCTAATAAGTTAACAGAAATAACAGGCAGTGCTATACCAAATTCTGTAGAAATGTTATATTTAAATGACAATTTAATTTCAAAAGTTCAATCGTACACATTCTTCAAGAAACCAAATTTAACACGAGTGGACTTGTATGGAAATAAAATAACAAGTCTAGATCCAAATTCCCTGAGAATATCTGCAGTACCACAGGACAAAACAGTGCCAGAGTTTTTCATAGGTGGAAATCCATTAGAATGCGATTGCACAATGGAATGGTTACAAAAAATTAATACGGGAAATAGAGCCAGAACACAACCAAAGCTAATGGATTTAGACAGTATAAACTGCAAATTACTTTACAACCGTGGTAATGCATATGTTGCTTTAGTAGAAGCTGCACCACATCAGTTTTTATGTAAATATGAATTCCACTGTTTTGCGTTATGCCACTGTTGTGATTTTGATGCGTGTGATTGCGAAATGACATGTCCAAATAATTGCACATGTTACCATGATCAATCTTGGTCGGCTAATGTTGTGGAATGCTCCAACGCCGATTATGTGAATGTCTTACCAGAAAGAATACCAATGGAAGCTACGCAATTATACCTTGATGGTAATGACATCAGAATGCTTCCAAGCCACGCATTCATAGGCAGAAAAAGACTGAAGATTTTATACTTAAATTCATCGAATATAGAAACAATTCACAATAGAACATTTAATGGATTAAAAGAACTTGAAGTACTTCATTTAGATTATAATAGTATTGAACAGATTGAAGGACAAGAATTTAATGGACTAGATAACTTACGTGAACTCTATGTAAATAATAATAAAATTAAATATATTGGCAAGGAAATGTTTAATCACATGTCACGTCTCAAAACTTTACATCTTCATCACAATAGACTAGTTATGTTGTCAGTGTGGCAAATCAACAATGCTATAACTGAAATAACGTTATCTTATAATCCGTGGTCATGTGACTGTGAATTTACAGAAATGTTTCGAGAGTGGACAAAACGGGTCAGTTCTGTAACAGACCTATCAAATCTTAGATGCATATACGCTAAAAGTAACAGCTCAGACATTGCTGTATACAATGATAGTATGTTTAGTGATCCAATATCAGGCTTCAATATTGTCAATGAAAATGGCACTATATGCACTGGTCTCCCAAATATAAATAACAGTATCAATGGTAATTTGACTGCAACTAAAACTATAATAAGGAATGAAGAAGTACAAGATTATATACCTCTACTTGTCGCAACCCTAGGAGCGTTCTTATTGGTATCATTTATAAGTATGATTATATTCATATTCAGGCAAGAAATGAGAGTGTGGTTTCATTCGAAATTTGGTGTAAGACTATTTTATAGACAGAGTGACATAGACTTAGATGGCCGTGAAAAAATGTTCGATGCATTCGTCAGTTACAGTTCTAAAGATGAGGCATGGGTTGCCGAGAAACTTGTTCCTATATTGGAGCGCGGTGACCCTTCATATAAACTATGCTTACACTATCGCGATTTCCCCGTGGGTGGCTACGGTGCAGAGAACATAATGCAAGCCGTAGAATCTTCACGTCGTACAATAATGGTTCTCAGTGAAAACTTCCTCAGATCCGAATGGTGTCATTGTGAGTTTAAATCTGCTCATCATCAAGTGTTAAGAGATAGACGAAGAAGACTGATAGTTGTATTGTTAGGTGACGTGCCTCAGAAGGATCTCGATCCAGATATAAGACTATACTTAAAAACTAATACGTATTTACATACGAGTGATAAGTGGTTTTGGGAAAAGCTGAGGTTTGCTCTACCGGACGTGTCTGGGAATCAGCGTTGTCGTGATGTACCAAGTCCAGTGTCTGGTGGTGGCGTAGCCATGCACAGACACCATCATCCAAGAAACCATCTGGGTGCGCTACCACCACCTCCCGTGCACGGTGCTCACCCTGTTTTACCTCCGCATCCCTCCCACACGTCACACCAAGTACCTCCTCGTGCATCCCCTCGTACAATGTCCGTCCACGTATAAACTTAAAAACAAATAAATACGAAGTGAATATTCCAAAAAGTGACTCAGTGAAGTGAAATACCAAATTCTACTGAAAGTGTCTGTTCCGTGAAAAATTGTGATGGCTAGTCTCATAACGTATGTATTGTATATAAACAATTATTTGTAAAGTTATTGTAAATATTTATACATAAGGAAGCTCATCTTAACTAATTTCATAAAATATTATAATCATTAAAATTGTAACTTAAAAGCATGTTCTATGATTGAAATTTAGTAGACATAATTTGTTTTGGGCCTATACAAGTCTGTTTTATAGGCAAGATATGCCTCATTTAATTTTACGGCAATGTTGCCACTATCTGTGATAAAACTAGTACTAGTAAGCATTGTGTAATTTCCCATCAATGTATATTTTGTATTTTAGTTATAAGAGAAAGACGATATTTATTGTAAAGATCTTGAAAAGCTGACTGTGGCAAAAGTGATACTCGAAAAAATAAAAAATTACGAAATTAATTAAAACAAAGTTTTATTATACACCTTTATTATCAAATAATATAAATTACATTTTACATTAATAAATGTAAAGAATAACAAATTGTAACTCTGCATTATGCATCTGTTTATATATGGGTAAAATACTTTTAATTGTATATTATGAATAGTAGCAAGACACAAAATTATTGGATGTAAAATAAACAAAGTATACACATTACTAATAGAAATTGATTGATTATGATGATCTGACTTCGCACTGGTGTAGGTATAAAAGAAAAGAGAAGTTAGTTATAAAATCAGTAAGTTACTAAGCTGGACTTCACTATTTATAAACATTTTCATATAAAACAGCATCAAATCAGATCCATTCAACGGATTTTCCAAAGTTTTTCATTATCAGAAACATTTTCTTATAATTATGAGGTCGAGAAAAAAAACTATAATAGACTATCGATTTATTAATCGATCGTCAAATTATTATTTTTCATACAAGCATCATTTCATTTTTGTTATATAAATTAAAAATATTCATAGAAGATAACACAAATAACAAACGCTTATAAATAACATTATCTATAATTTACATATTTTAAAATATTAATATTTAAATAATTTTAGTTTTTAAATTTAATATTTAATTAGTGATTATAATGCTTTTTAAACTATACTCAATCAAACATATATCAATCTGTTATTATATAGTAATGTTTTTTTAAAGTATACTAAATAAGGATGACATTCATCAAACAATAAAAACATTTTATTAATGTAAAAATAGTTCTAAGAAACGCATAAATCAATATATAATGTACTACCTAAAAATATAAGCGTACAAAAAATAATAGTAGTAGTAGCGTAGTAAAAATATTTATTTGACTATTAGTCAAATAAATATTTTTATATTATCTAAATATTCTATTACTATTTAAGTATTATTTTTAGCAATACTATTTTAATTTATTTATATTAGATATTGTTTAGACATTTTAACAGATATTTTGAATTACTTCACAATTAGCCGAGTTTAATATACAACTTTACAAATATTCTATACGTAAAATAAATAAATATGGCATTCCGATGCTTATAATTCAGGATCAAAGCCCGGGCGTCGACCGCGAACCTTCAATCTAAGGTAACGAGCCCGTACGCCTAAGTAGGTGTGAAACAACTGCAGGAACAAAGGATAGCGCGGTTTCTGCATCGAGATTCCTTTTATAGCTTGCACGATACGTTACTTGGATGCGGACGCCGCTTCTTTATTATGGAAACTCCACACAAGAATTCTCTATATCATGAAGTAGTAGTGATACTTCTTATATATTGTTCTAAAGCATTTTGTTATGGACAATTCCCATAAAAATATATAACCGAATTTCTGCTGTGCAGAAACTTAGGGTACAAATATTTTTCACCGGAAAATATATAGGTAGATTCAAATTTATTATATAAAATTTTTTATTAAGCCATCAAGTGATTATTCGTTATTAAAATTGCAAATATTTCCTGACGGCGAGTTTACGTTTAAACAATATATTGATAACCAAAAATGTAACAGTATATTTAAATACCTACTACAATTCGACATTACATTAAAATTTTAGATTTATTAATGTTTATATAAAAATAGTACTGGACGGCTTTTAGCTTTATACATCAAACAAAAATAAAATATTTTTATCTGTTAAAAAAAGATTACAGATATTTTAGATTTTAGTCTACCTTAATGGTACAAATTCAATTTAAAATCGAGTTTAAGACACTTAATATACTACAACTACTATTAGTAAGGTACATTATCTTGCTACTATTATATTTATTTTAGCTCTTACTTTGAAATTAGATTTATCGAGTAATTACTGTACTCAATAAATCTAATTTCAAAGTAATTCAATTCTTAATTCCCGCTGACTAGATTACTGTCTATAAACTATGTAATTGACGGACTACAAAATAAAATAGCTTACCCTGTGAACAATGTTTAATTCCTCTTAGCTGTATATTAACATATCTACACACAAAAATACAGTCTATTTTTCTATCTCCATATTGAAATCGCTTCAAAATTACTATTCAAAAACAACTTCGTAGCTCCCCGGGGCCATCCGTCTCGACGGGGGTAACGTACGACAAGCCACAGCGCATACTGCGGTCGGCGAGGACTTGCTTTCAAACACAAACTAATAAGTCCTCAAATGTATGCCTCAGTGACGGTATAAAGTACCTCACTATTACCTTACCATACTTAGCTTTTGTTCAAGTTTAGCGACATTTCATTGAGTATTGTAAGCATATATTACCTTGATCTCATTAGAAATAAGATAAAATATTCTTCAGTACTTTAAGCTATAAGTTAAAAAAAATAATTTAAACTCTGACATAAAAATAACTAAATTATTTACCCATATTTATCGCATCTGTTAGGATCGTATAAGGCACTATCTTAAACTAAAAAAATACTCTTATGTGATTTTAAGATAAGTATTTCAGTTAACCTTTTCTCTTGCTAATATTATTTAGCAAGAGTTCATTCGGACAAGTTTTTTATGCTACGATGGTGGCAATCAAGCATACGGCCAAGTGGGAAAACTTGGTTTCTGTTCAGTGTAACATTTTCGTAAATATATATTCTGCCTGAAATTGTTAATCGTATTTCTGTGCAAATTATTAAAGTAGTGCCTTTAAGTAAATACTTATAATAAAAATCATCTATCATGATAATTATATTGTAATAACTTATAAAGCAAAATTTATTGAGTTTTAAATCATGAAAATTCAAGCACATTAAATAATTTACATGCCCATTTGATATCCTCTTAAGCAATATCGAGAAATAAATTACGTAACACCGTTGTAATTGTCTCTTATTTTAAAAGGACTCAAATACTTACCATTGTCAATGATAGCGCGAATTTATCCGACAGGGTTTGTATCATTACGTGATAAAGCACAGAATGAACAGAGATTAAATGCGTAGCTGTTTCTATGTTCATTGTCGCATGCCTAATATGCATCGCATGCCTAATATAATCCTTGTTAATTTAAATCTAACTAAAACAATACTTATTTAAAAGAGCAATACACAAGTTTCTTGCTCATTCTTCTTGTGATTGGTCTGCATTCCGAATGAGCGGTAGAATAAAAAATGTGACTATTCAGAAGTGCTTAAGTTTATTTGAATAAAGATTATTCAATTTTGAATAAAGAGAATTCAAACCAGAAATGTCACATGAACCCACTTTGTAACTGTCATACCTTTACTTCAACAGTTATATACATCTACTATTGGGGTTGTATGGATTTTTTGATTAAAAATGAGATACACGATTTCTACACATCAATGCTACATATCATAGCGAGAATTATCAAAGTTGTCCAGTCTGCTTTATTTACACACAATACCTACTGATACATATCAGGACTACAAATACTCGTGGAAGTCTATATATGACTGAAAATACGTATAATTTATTTTATACTTAATAGGTTACACATTCGAATACGCAAAAAATATCAAGTCGCATCTATTTTATATAAATAAAACCATAGGGTATATATATATATATATACGTACCTATATCAAAAAATACATTTCTTCACACATTTAACACATATATGTGTATAAAAGTAAAAAAACCATTTTTAGTTTTTTTTATAATAGTTTTAATAGTTTTTTGTAGTGTAATAGTTTACAGGTTAGCAAACTGTATGGGAAATGAGTGTGGTATATTTAAATTAACAAGGAAACTGAAAAATCCGTACCAGAATTTATTTTACATTGATTTAGCTGGACGTAAATCTCTATAAAATGAATGCTTCATTAGATAATATCGGAGTATCTGTATATTATGGCACTGATCTTAGTGCTTAAGAAATTTGTAACTTGCGAACCCATTTTTCTTGTAATAGATAAAAATAAGATAAGTAATATAATCCAGATAAAATCTCAATAGCAAATATTAAATTCAATCTAAAAATATTTCATACTATCAATATATTGAACTATCCTTTATATAAATAAGAAACAAACCTCGCATAAAAAGACAATATCACTTACATATGATAATTTTAAGTTTATTTAGATTTCTTTTACTCTCCGAGATTATTTCTCCTCATGCGCCAACTACTCTGTTTTTTGTAAAAATACTCACTTTTCAAAGGTTGTCTAGAAGAGATTAGATTAAGGATAAGTGTAATAAATTAATAAAAACACAATATTTGCATTTTAATCAGCTTTGTTTTTATTTACTCAATGAATATAACAAAAGTTGTTTGTATATGTTAATTTTCAACTTTGTTTATAGTAATAATTCTGTGATGTGAGAAATAAATATCGCGACTGACTTGTTATCATAAACAACAAACAATTACTAATTGGCTCATACTTTTTCCCGTTCCGGACAGGCAAGCCCACTTTCATTGGTAAAGAAACAATTTTGAAGTAAAACGAGATTTTAATACCATAATCATTAATTTCAAATAGGAATAAACTATTGTATTAACTGTATAATAGAAATATGGATAGCTAATATAAATATATAATAATATAGGTAATATAATTTACTAATTTTCACTAGGTAAACTAAACACATATCCATTAGTGCAATAGAAGGAAATTCAAAATAAAATACTATACTAGTGGCAGTCCGGCCAATTTGATAATAGCAGAGCAATGAATGTTGTCTTTGTTTTGTCAATTTTGATTGTAGTGACTGGTGGTGGTGACTCAGAATAAGTCACGAACTCCCTCTGATACTATTCTATTAAAGTAAACAAGATTGATACCATTTTTAATTGTCGTAGATTTTGGGATCCGTCCAGTTAAAGTATGATTACTGTATAATGTTAATTGTCAAGCCAATAAAATGATAGATAATTGTCAAGATAATCAATAAAAGCCAAAAATGAGAAAATTTGATATAGAGATATTGGCAGAATTTGCAACTCGCTTAGTAAAAATAAGTCCTTTACTCTCCTATTTAGTTACGAATGTGTGTGTGCACAGCCT